GAAGCAGAAACTCTCTGCGAAGATGTGCCTCGGCTCTGTGACACTGCGGCTATTTCCTGAGGTGTCCGCTGCCGATCCCAGCACACGCAGGCACATCCCCAAGGAACAGCAACAGAGGGAGAAGGCGTCAGGAGGAAAAATGCCAAGTGGTTCTGGGTGGTGGGGACTTCTGATTTCCTGGAGCTGAGCCTGCCCTGGTCTCCCGGGGGACATGCAGATGGACGGTCTCTCTGCTCTTCTGCTAGAGTGTGTGTGACTTTGCTGGGAGCACTTGCTATGCAAAAAGTGTTTTAATTAATCACTGAAAGGGTGCAGGGTAGGACTGGCCTCACTGCACAAGCTGGGTTCCCATCCTCAGCGGGACAGACGGACCTGAGCAGGGACAGATGGACCTGCATGGGGCAGGCAGATGTCCCAGCTGCCGCACCCTCGAGGAACGGAGAAGGGACAGAACGCCTCGCTCTGCTGATCCCTTGCTGGATGTACCCCTGTAAACACCGTGGTGTTCACTTCCAATAAACTCCTACAGAAACGGTGGTGAGGTGGTCTCCGTTCTCATTCAGGCCTTGCGCCTCTCTCTGCTGGGTTTGGCTTTCCCAGCCTGGGAGCCAGCAAAGGTGGTGGCTGGTGGTGTGAGGGGTGATCCAGGATGGCTAAAAGCATCTTGGACGCTGAATTTATAGCACAAACGTTTGTTCTCTCGTCCTTTGTGCAAAGGAACACGTGACTGCAAACCACAGCCTTGTTTCGGAGGGTTGTATGGTTTGCTTTGCTTTTTTTGCAAATATTCAAGTTGCTCTGCCGTTCTGTGGGAGAAACGCAGCTCGTGGTGGGAGCCAATGATGGCGGAGAGCTTGGGATGCACCGATCTGCGGTGGTGTGGACCCCCAGAGACCCGAGAGAGAGATGCGACCCAATGGCCTGGGTCCAGACGCCCGCGGGGCTCACCTTCAGGTTGGGATTTACACAACTAACGGGGTTGAGCGAAGGTGCAGGCTAACACGGATGCAGCCAAGGGCTTGCTTCTGCCTGCCCAAATCCCCTGGGGGGGTTGGGTCTCATTCCGCTGTTCCCCCATAGCACCCTCGGACACACACCCCGTGCAGGGGAGGGTGACTCCTCAGTGAGGAGGGGCTGTGCCGCGGCATCACGATGCACAAGAAATTACTCCGAGCAGGAATTCCTGAGAAGACACCCCACGCACAGCCCAGCAACACCTCCGACAGTAAAGAAGGACACCCCCTCCCCAAAAAACCAACCCCAAGAAGCCCTTAGCCCTGCCACAGCCCCCTCGCCCAGGCCACAACATGCAGCGCGTCTCCTCGGAAGTCGCCTCGTGTGGCTTCAGGCCACATCAGTCCGGGTGTGGGAGGCTGTGGGGGCTGTTGGCTCCGCTCTAAATAGACTCTACGGTAAACCACACTTTTCTTAGAAACTTTCCTTTCGGCTTGAAGTGGTTCTGAGAAGTTTCCAGCCCTTCCATGGTGAGACAGTGAAAGCCCTCGTCACCCCCCTGCGCTGGCTGCTAGCAGGGAGGTTCAGGGAGGTTTTAAAGCATCAAGTTTTGACCATCCGTGGAGTTACCTTCCATTCACTGGGATGCAGCATCAGGACTTCAGCCTCTGGGCTTTCAATCTCAGCTGTGGATGTTGTCCTGCCTTAGGAAGCAAAGGGTTCGTACAAGTTAGAGCTGGTGGCAGAGAGTTTCATGAGTCGGGCTCGGACCGCAAGTCTGCTGGAGTCAACCCACCGGACATCATCTGTGGAAGACCTCAGCAAAGCCCTTTGGGGGTTTTCTTTTGCCTGGGAGAGCAGCAAGGAGGCAGTTTCAGAAATTCACATTTTCTGACCTGTATGATGCTTGTTTGGAGTATTTGGTGTGACTCAGGGACACACCTCCCCATCCAGACCTTACGATCCCACCGAATCTGCAGCTTTTACTGAGCCAAAAGAGTAAACAGCACCCCAAAACCGCTGGATTAAAAGCTGCAGCTGAGGTTCTTGGGCTGGGTCAAGCTGGAGAACTGACCCTTTGGTGACAAATCCTGCCTTTGAGGTTACACCTACTCACATTTAGTGTCTGCAGTGCCTGGAAACCCTGACAGAGCGCCCAGCTCAGCCCACGTGGCCCCACGGCTGTGGTCACTGACCTGTGGTCAGTGCTGGCACCTTGGCAGTTTGGGAAGCGGTGTCACCTCAGCCCCACTGAGATCTGCACCCCTCAACGCTTCCCACTGTGTCCGGACCCCGCTTCCCGCTGAGATCTGGCTACGTGCTCATCACAGCAACCACTTCACCTGCATCCTTGACTTGAGCGACCGCGCTCCACTCGCTGGCATCTCCCAGTCCTTCCCCTTGCGGGGGCAACCCCAGAGGTTCCTGCTTTGGGAGGATTTTTCACCAAAAGCCAGCTGACCTCATAAATCAGCTGCTGTCTGTGCAGTTCCCCGAGCTGGTGCAGTTTCACTCTTGCGCTCTCCTCCCACCATATAACCAGGGGCCACCGGGGCCCCTTCCTGCCCATCACCTCTTCTCCAGGCAAGTGTGAAGGACCTGGGGTGCTTCTGGCACCAGCTGCCCGCGGTCGGACGCTCACGGGAGGACGGGGTAAGTCTGTGGCTGTGTGCAATGCTTTATTCATATTCTGCTTGCACAGAAATCAGTTTCTACAGGCAAAACTCTCCTTGGGCGTGATCCCGTGCAACGCTGTTGAGGTGTCATACGGGCTGAAACGGGTGAGGGCATTTTACATGCAGAGCGAGCAAAACCCCTGTAGTGCTCCAAGACACAGGGCTGGATGCTGCTCCTCATTCCTCCCCTTCACACCCAGCTTGGCTCTAATTCTACTGCTGTTTTCCAGGTAAGCATGTGGCTAATGGCTTGTGTGATTCACCTTCAGTTAATTAACTGGAAGTTAATTTAAAAAATTAACTATTTTTTTCTGACTTTGCCTTGTTAAGTCAACGCAGATTTCAAATTTTTGAATAGTTCTTAGGTGTTTTCTACTTACAGCTCAAAATTTCTCCTCCTCCTCAGAGTACAGACCCTCTGCCCCTTTTGTTAACACATTATTGTGTATATTATGACTTGCTTTTCACCAAGTGGGTGTCAAATCCAGGCCATGGGTAGTGTGGGGAACATGAAGCCCGTGACTTTGGGGATTTCTGTCACCCTGAGAGCTGAGCTGGTCATTGCCGCTGCAGCGGTTCTGGTTTGGGTAGAAGGGAAAGGACCCAGCTGTTGCCAGCATGGCTTCTCTCTGCCGTGGGGTGGGATTTTGGAGCTGTGTGGATGATGATGCCAGAAGGCAGCAACACAACATTATGAATAGAAAATTCCTCATTTGGAATGGTTCAGGTTTTGGGAAAAGCAGTGGAAGACAGAGGAAAGCAAATGGTCAAGGACTGCAACAGCCGCAGACCTCTGTGTTAGAGGCTTTAGCCGGGGGCTTAGCGATCATCAGCATTCCCTACCCTCTGGATTAGACTCTCAGCTTTACTAAAACAGGAGTTAAAGGCCAGGTTAAGGAAATGACACCCTGTTTCAGCCAGGCATGGGGGGGCCCTGGTGAGGACAAATTGGTTCTCGACCCCTCCTGAGCTGTTCAAGCCACATTCCGTCATCAGCCACCACAGTCGGCCACCCCAGAGCACAGGGGAAGGAGCAGTTCAACTGCCCATTTCTCTGGCTGACCGAAGCCAGGAGAGACCGAAGACACCTCTGTCTGAAAACGCATCAACTGTAAAAATGCCCTCAAGCCTGTTTTCTTCCCAGGGTCTGTTCCACATCCCTCAGGATGCAGTGCAGAGCTGCGAGCTGTGACTGCAGGGCTGGCCGAGAGCAGCCGCCTGGAAATGACTCGTTACACGGAGCCCTGAGCCTTTTGGGGACACACTGGGATGTGTGACATCATACCCCAAAGGCAGCGTGGGCAGTGGCCGGTACAAGAGCCAAGGTGTAAATCCAAGCGCTTCACCATCATCAAGAGTGTCTGATTTCAGAATCATCCACGCAGGGATGTGAGGCTCCCAAATGGCCAGGGCAATGTTTTGCCACTGGTGAGACACCAACGAGTTGTTCCTCTGCATCCCAAGAAGGGACAGTCTCAGTGCCTGCCAGGCTGAGCCCGGTGCTGCCGTGACCGTCTCACCCCTTGCCCCACCATCCCTCCTGCCAACAGGAGCCTGGCACAACCTTGGGTCACCCCATGGTGTGCTCAATGGAAAGAGCAGCTTTGGAGGATGGGAAGGGCATTGGGATGCCCCCGGAGCACCAGCCTCCCAGCTGCTCCGTCTGCGGGGCTGGGAAGTCTGGCAGCAGAGGGGGAGTGGGTCGGTGAGCCCCTTGCCAACTGCGCAGTGACAAAACCAGCTGGAATAATGGTAGCGTGGGGGATGCAGGGCTCTCACGGGTGATTTTAAATGCAGAGGCTTTTGGAGCCAAGCAGTAACAGCACCATCTCTTTCCCCTTCCCCATCACAGTTCGTGGTGGTGAACATTGTCACTACTCCTGCGGTGCCTTTGTAGCCCCTTCTCTTTCGTTTGCAGTATGATGAAAGTCAAGCTGAGGGCGGCAGGTTTGAGCCTGCTTCCCGCAAGGTCTTGACAAGCAAGACTTGGCCCCTTGCACCTGCCAGGTCTCCTGTGGGGGCTAGGATAAATAATGGCCAACTTTTGGCCACAGATCTTCAGGATCAGGGATCATTTGAAAACCTGCCTCTGCTGCGTCAGCCGCTGTTGCCTCTGGTCCAGGTCAGCCTTAAGATGATGGGCTCAGGTGACTTCTCTGCTTTCTCTTTTCCACCCCACCCCTTGCAGGTCAGCACAGAGGGTTCTCCTAAGTCCCTGGAGCTGCTGGCCTCCCTCATGAACACCAGCACGGACTGCGTGCCCCTGGGGCTGCACCCCAGCATCCCTGCCCTGGGCGCCCTTCTCCTGCTGGGCTGCATCCTGC